TATAACTTTAAAGAAAAAAAATAAAAGACGTTTTTCACTTGATGACGAAAAACTAAATATAAAATTATCTTATTTTTGTGAATAATGTGAATAATAATTGAATTGAATATGTTTTTTATTTCTAAAATTTTTATAAAATTTTCTGTTTGTTTTCTTGTACTTTTGCGAAAATCATATAAAGGATCATTCTCAACCAATTATACAAATGTTATATTGTATTCTATTATGAAACTTTATTGGTAATACGAAAAATACTTTATATATTATTTATTGAGTAAGATGTTCTACATTATTTTCATAAACTACGTATACTAAATACTTTGTAACTTAATTTAGAAATATAATACATTTTTTATATAATTTAAAGATAAATAACACAAAATTAAAAAAAAAAAAGACTTAAAGTTCTAATGTTTTAAGATGAATCTAAAAATTTAGCTTTTAAAGTTAAGAAGAATGTATAATAATATTTGAAATATGGCATATATTATCATAATCATGACATTGCCGAGCCTCATTTTCCAATATAAATATTTAAGTGTTATATCTAGGTTAAAGTTGGAACCTTAGCAGCATACCCTTTTCGTAACTTTATAGTTCGAAAACAAAGTAGAATAAAAGTCTTCTAAAAAATATATGAAAGTCTATTTTTTCTATTCAAATTATTTTCATTATAAATATATATATATATATATTATATTCGAATAAACACTACGCGATTTTTTAATCTAGATTAAGAATTGAAAAATACTTATTTAATTTTTAAATTATATTTAGAATTATATTTCAATTAAAAACCCATCCATAATGTAATCTTAAAGTTTAATGACTAAAATTTTTAATTATGTGAATTCAATATTATTTTCATTCATTAAATCTATATCTTATTTTTTTAAAAGCTTTAGAAAAGAATTTGGAACGTAACCTCTTTCTCAATATAAATTTACTCAAACTAATAGTCCAATGTTGAATGCGGTTCTGAATAATATAGTTGTTTTGCCAAACTTAGTAACTTTAGTTTCACAGTTATTCTTACTGAAAGACTGTCATGTAAACCATGTTAATTTGCTAATTTGTGAACCCAAATACACTCAAAATTATTATCATGCTATTTATACGCTCTAAAATAATATTTCAATTAGCTAAAATATAATCAATAAAAGGCAACCAACAATGCAGCAGACAAAAGAAAAGACAACAAACACAAATATAATGAAGGAACATTCTTATGCCTTCCTTCGTTCATCTTCTGAAATTAAGTAATAGCCAGGTGCATCCATTTGCATTGTTATGCCACTTACGCCTAATAGGAAATTAGATATTTAGGGCAATATGATATCTTTCCACACTTTAAAGATTCTAGCTACCTATATATGCCCAAAAGATTCAACCCTCTTTAATTTTCATTTAAGAGATTAATCTATTCCAACCAAAAAGAGTAAACACAAAACAAAACACGCACACCCCAATGGCCTATAAAATCCCTTCCAAAGTTAAGCTACAAACCAAACAACACTTATTCACATGTTAAAGCCATAGGAGAAAATAAGAAGGAAAATGGCTTCAAAGGGTGTGGTTGCACCCGTTGCCCATCTCCTTTTCTTCTCCCTCATTTTCTTTCCCATGGTTAGTTCAAACAACCATTCCCTTTCGGCACAACTCTCACCACTTCACAAAGAAGACCAACCACATCACAAAAAACCAAAAGAAGACCAACTACATCACAAAAAACCGCCAGTATCACACAAACCACCACATCCTGAGAAACCACACAAACCACCACATCCTAAGAAACCACGCAAATCACCACCACCACCAGTGTTACGCAAATCACCACCACCACCAGTCTCACGCAAATCACCACCACCACCAGTCCCACGCAAATCACCACCACCACCAGTCCCACGCAAATCACCACCACCACCAGTCCCACGCAAATCACCACCACCACCAGTCCCACGCAAATCACCACCACCACCAGTCCCACGCAAATCACCACCACCACCAGTCCCACGCAAATCACCACCACCACCAGTCCCACGCAAATCACCACCACCACCAGTCCCACGCAAATCACCACCACCACCAGTCCCACGCAAATCACCACCACCACCAGTCCCACGCAAATCACCACCACCACCAGTCCCACGCAAATCACCACCACCACCAGTCCCACGCAAATCACCACCACCACCAGTCCCACGCAAATCACCACCACCACCAGTCCCACGCAAATCACCACCACCACCAGTCCCACGCAAATCACCACCACCACCAGTCCCACGCAAATCACCACCACCACCAGTCCCACGCAAATCACCACCACCACCAGTCCCACGCAAATCACCACCACCACCAGTCCCACGCAAATCACCACCACCACCAGTCCCACGCAAATCACCACCACCACCAGTCCCACGCAAATCACCACCACCACCAGTCCCACGCAAATCACCACCACCACCAGTCCCACGCAAATCACCACCACCACCAGTCCCACGCAAATCACCACCACCACCAGTCCCACGCAAATCACCACCACCACCAGTCCCACGCAAATCACCACCACCACCAGTCCCACGCAAATCACCACCACCACCAGTCCCACGCAAATCACCACCACCACCAGTCCCACGCAAATCACCACCACCACCAGTCCCACGCAAATCACCACCACCACCAGTCCCACGCAAATCACCACCACCACCAGTCCCACGCAAATCACCACCACCACCAGTCCCACGCAAATCACCACCACCACCAGTCCCACGCAAATCACCACCACCACCAGTCCCACGCAAATCACCACCACCACCAGTCCCACGCAAATCACCACCACCACCAGTCCCACGCAAATCACCACCACCACCAGTCCCACGCAAATCACCACCACCACCAGTCCCACGCAAATCACCACCACCACCAGTCCCACGCAAATCACCACCACCACCAGTCCCACGCAAATCACCACCACCACCAGTCCCACGCAAATCACCACCACCACCAGTCCCACGCAAATCACCACCACCACCAGTCCCACGCAAATCACCACCACCACCAGTCCCACGCAAATCACCACCACCACCAGTCCCACGCAAATCACCACCACCACCAGTCCCACGCAAATCACCACCACCACCAGTCCCACGCAAATCACCACCACCACCAGTCCCACGCAAATCACCACCACCACCAGTCCCACGCAAATCACCACCACCACCAGTCCCACGCAAATCACCACCACCACCAGTCCCACGCAAATCACCACCACCACCAGTCCCACGCAAATCACCACCACCACCAGTCCCACGCAAATCACCACCACCACCAGTCCCACGCAAATCACCACCACCACCAGTCCCACGCAAATCACCACCACCACCAGTCCCACGCAAATCACCACCACCACCAGTCCCACGCAAATCACCACCACCACCAGTCCCACGCAAATCACCACCACCACCAGTCCCACGCAAATCACCACCACCACCAGTCCCACGCAAATCACCACCACCACCAGTCCCACGCAAATCACCACCACCACCAGTCCCACGCAAATCACCACCACCACCAGTCCCACGCAAATCACCACCACCACCAGTCCCACGCAAATCACCACCACCACCAGTCCCACGCAAATCACCACCACCACCAGTCCCACGCAAATCACCACCACCACCAGTCCCACGCAAATCACCACCACCACCAGTCCCACGCAAATCACCACCACCACCAGTCCCACGCAAATCACCACCACCACCAGTCCCACGCAAATCACCACCACCACCAGTCCCACGCAAATCACCACCACCACCAGTCCCACGCAAATCACCACCACCACCAGTCCCACGCAAATCACCACCACCACCAGTCCCACGCAAATCACCACCACCACCAGTCCCACGCAAATCACCACCACCACCAGTCCCACGCAAATCACCACCACCACCAGTCCCACGCAAATCACCACCACCACCAGTCCCACGCAAATCACCACCACCACCAGTCCCACGCAAATCACCACCACCACCAGTCCCACGCAAATCACCACCACCACCAGTCCCACGCAAATCACCACCACCACCAGTCCCACGCAAATCACCACCACCACCAGTCCCACGCAAATCACCACCACCACCAGTCCCACGCAAATCACCACCACCACCAGTCCCACGCAAATCACCACCACCACCAGTCCCACGCAAATCACCACCACCACCAGTCCCACGCAAATCACCACCACCACCAGTCCCACGCAAATCACCACCACCACCAGTCCCACGCAAATCACCACCACCACCAGTCCCACGCAAATCACCACCACCACCAGTCCCACGCAAATCACCACCACCACCAGTCCCACGCAAATCACCACCACCACCAGTCCCACGCAAATCACCACCACCACCAGTCCCACGCAAATCACCACCACCACCAGTCCCACGCAAATCACCACCACCACCAGTCCCACGCAAATCACCACCACCACCAGTCCCACGCAAATCACCACCACCACCAGTCCCACGCAAATCACCACCACCACCAGTCCCACGCAAATCACCACCACCACCAGTCCCACGCAAATCACCACCACCACCAGTCCCACGCAAATCACCACCACCACCAGTCCCACGCAAATCACCACCACCACCAGTCCCACGCAAATCACCACCACCACCAGTCCCACGCAAATCACCACCACCACCAGTCCCACGCAAATCACCACCACCCCCACCACATCGTGTACCACCACCACCATCACCACCACCACCACCACCACCACCATCACCACCACCACCACCACCACCACCACCACCACCACCACCACCACCACCATCACCACCACCACCACCACCATCATCACCACCACCACCACCACCATCACCACCACCATCACCACCACCACCACCACCATCATCACCACCACCATCATCACCACCACCACCACCACCACTGTTACCTCCTATATCAACACCAACATTGTCGCCCTCAACATTACCTCAATTATCACCTCCAATCTCACCACCTTTGTTGACACCTGTAGGATCACCATCATTATCACCTTCTAACTCATCCTCATCATTACCTCCTCTCTCATTACCACCATTGTCACCCTCAACATTACCTCCATTGTCACCTTCGGTCTCACCATCAATGTTGTCACCTCTAGACTCTCCACAATCATCACCTCCCGACTTACCAACATTGTCACCTTCTATCTCACCACCACCACCTTTAGTGTCACCACCACCACCTTTAGAGTCACCACCATTATTACCTCCTAACTCACCACCATCCTTACCTTCTATCTCACCAACACTCTTGCCACCATCAACGCTACCTCCATTGTCACCTTTAGCCTTACCACCAATGTTGTCACCCCTAGAGTCACCCACATTATCACCTTCCGAATCACAGCCATTATCACCTTTTATCTCACCACCTTTAATGCCACCTCTAGAATCACCATCATTATCACCTCCTGAATCATTACCATCGTTACCTCCTATCTCACCTTCACTATTTCCACCCTCTACCCTACCTCCATTATCACCACCGATCTCACAACCAACATTTCCACCTTTAGAGTTAACGCCACTATCACCTCCCAACTCACCACCCTTATCACCTCCTATCCCACCACCGTTATTACCACCTCTAGAGTCATCTCCCTTATCACCTCCAGAATTATCACCATCGTTGCCTCCTACCTCACCACCACTACTATCACCATCGTTGCCACCTTTAGAGTCACCATCATTATCACCTCCTGACTTACAACCATCGTTACCTCCTATTTCACCACCATTATTGCCACCACTAGAGTCACCACCATTATTGCCACCTTCAATGTTACCTCCATTGTCACCTCTAGCCTCAACACCAGTGTTTTCGCCTCTAGAGTCACCGTTGATATCGCCTACTGACTCACAACCATTATCACCTCTCGTGTCACCACCATTGTTGCCACCGCTAAAGTCACCACCATTATCACCTCCTGTGTTACCACCAATGTTGTCACCGCTAGAGTCACCACCATTGTTGCCACCGCTAGATTCACCATCATCATCACCTTCTTTGTCACCACCGTTATTGTCACCTACAGAGTCACAACCATTACCATCTCCTGACTTATCACCATTTTTACCTCCTGTCTCACCACCATTGTTGCCACCTTCAATCTTACCACAATTGTCACCTTTGGTCTCACCATCAATGTTGTCACCTCCATTATCATCTCCTAACTTACCACCATTATCATCTCCTATCACACCACCATTATTATCACCTCTAGAATCACCACCATTATTGTCACCTCTAGAATCACCACCATTAATGTCACCTCTAAAATCACCACCATTATCACCTCCTGATTTACCACCATCATTATCACCGATCTCGCCACCACTGTTGTCACCCTCAACGTTACCTCCATTGTCACCTTTGGTCTCACCACAGTTCCCACCTTTAGAGTCGCCACCAATATCATCTCCTGACTTACCACCAATATCATCTCCTGACTTACCACCATTATCACCTCCTATGTTATCACCATTGTTTCCACCTCTAGAGTCACCAACATTAACACCTCCTAACTCCCCACCATCATTACCTCCTATCTCACCACCATTATTGTCACCTTCAATGTTACCTCCAGTGTCGTCTCCGGTCTCAACACCAGTGTTTCCACCTTTTGTGTCACCGCCAATATCACCACCATTGTTGGCACCACTAGAGTCACCATCATTATCACCTCTTGACTCATCACCATCCTTACCTCCTATCTCACCACCTTTTTTGTCACCCTCAGCCTTACCTCCATTATCACCTTCACTCTCAACACCAACATTTCCCCCTTTAGAGTCACCACCATTGTCACCTCTTATGTCACCACCATTATCACCTCCTGATTTACCATCATCATTATCACCGATCTCGCCACCACTATTGTCGCCCTCAACGTTACCTCCATTGTCACCTTTGGTCTCACCACAGTTCCCACCTTTAGAGTCGCCACCAATATCATCTCCTGACTTACCACCAATATCATCTCCTGACTTACCACCATATAACCTCCTATGTATCCCATGTTTCCACCTTGAGAGTCACCAAACATTAACACCTCCTAACTCCCCACCAATCAGTTGGACTTCCTATCTCACACATTATTGTCACCGTAAATGTTACCTCCAGTGTCGTCTCCGGTCTCAAACCAGTGTTTCCACCTTTTGTGGTCACCGCCAATATCACCACCTTTGTTGGCACCACTAGAGTCACCATCATATCACTTGCTCCCACTCTCTATCCACCTTTTACTAGCTTCTCATTTCACCTCACTACCACACCTTAACACACATTCCTCTTCACCAATATCCTGATAATCCTCTATCACCGTCTCGCATTGTGCCCTCAACGTGACTCCATTGTAACTTTGTCTCACCACAGTTCCACCTTTAGAGTCGCCACCAATATCATCTCATGACTTACCACCAATATCATCTCCTGACTTAACACCAACTTATCTCCTGACTTACCACCATTATAACCTCCTATGTTATCACCATTGTTTCCACCTTAGAGTCACCAACATTAACACCTCCTAACTCCCCCACCATCATACCTCCTCTCTACCACCATTATTGTCACCTTCAATGTTACTCCAGTGTCATCTCCGGTCTAACACCAGTGTTCACACATTTTTGTGTACCGCCAATATCACCACCATTGTTGGCACCACTAGGAGTCACCATATTATCACCTCTTGACTCATCACCATCCTTACCTCCTATCTCACCAACCTTTTTTGTCACCCTACAGCCTTACCTCCATTATCACCTTCACTCTCCAACACCAACATTTCCCCCTTTAGAGTCAACCACCAATTATCACCAGTTGACTCCACCACCATCGTTATCGCCTATCTCACCACCACTACTCAACCGCAACATCACTTCATTATCACCTTCACTCACAACACCATTGTTTCCACCTTAGAGTCGTCACCATATTGTCACCTCTAGTCACACCACATTATCACATCCTCGATTCAACACCATCATTACCTCCTATCTCACCACCATATTTTCAACCCCAATGTTACCTCCATTGTCACCTCCGGTCTCACACCACGTTTCCACCTTTTGTGTCACGCCAATACAACACCATTGGCAACCTCCTGTGTTACCACCATTATCGCCACCTCTAGAGTCACCACCATTATCATCTAATGACTTACCACCATCGTTGTCGCCTATCTCATCACCATTATTTTCGCCCTCAATGTTACCTCCATTGTCAACCTCCAGTCTTGACGCCAATGTTTCCACCTTTAGAGTCACCACGGTTATTGCCACCTCTAGATTCACCACCATTATCACCCTGATCACCACCATCGTTACCTCCTTATCTTACCACCATTATTTTCTCCATCAATGTTATCCTCCATTGTCGCCTCTGGTCTCAACACCACATTTCCACCTTTTATGTCACCGCCAATATCACCTCCTATGTCACCACCATTGTTGCCAACCTCTAGAATCAACCACCTTATTTCCTCCTAACTCACCACCATCGTTACTGCCTATGTCACCACCATTATTATCACCGTCAATGTTACCTCCATTGTCATCTCCGATCTCAACACGATGTTTCCACCGTTAGAGTCACCATCCATTATCTCCTTCTAAGTCACCACAATCGTTACCTCCTATTTCACCGCCCTTAACTACCACCCTCAATATTACCTCCATTGTCACCACCAATGGTCCCACTCTAAAGTCACCACCATTATCGCCACCTGACTTATCACCATTATTTCCACCATCAACATTACCTTCCATTGCCACCTCTAGTCTCACCGCCATTGTTGTACCTCTAATCTCGCCACCATTATTACCACCTTCAGAGTCACCACAATTGTTACCACCTGACTCATCACCAGTTTTACCTCCTATCCCACAACCCATTTCACCTTCACCACCACCTCCTTCTCCACCTATTGTGCCACCTCCTCCATCCCTACCCGTTTCACCTTTGTCGCCTCCTCCTCCACCACCTATTACTCACCTCCTCCTCCTTACACCTATCTTACCTCCACCTATTGAACCTTTTACACCACCTCCTCCCCTTCCACTTGTGTCAACTTCCACCACCGCCTCCTCATTCTGTTATTTCATCCTCCTCCCTCTCCATCCATCTCCTCTCCACCACCACCTCCTCAACTTGTTGCGTCACCTCCACCACCTCGACCTGTCTCATCTCAGCCACCGCCACCTCCTCAACTTGTTACGCCTCCTCCTCCCCCTCCATCCATCTCACCTCCACCACCACCACCGCCTCGACTTGTTACACCTCCTCCTCCCCTTCCATCCATCACACCTCCGCCACCACCACCTCCTCGACCTGTTACACCACATCCTCCCCCTCCTACTGTCTCGCTTCCACCACACCTCCTCCCCTCCCGCGTATTTCACCTCCACCACCACCACTTCCTCGCCCTATAGGCCACCCACTCCCATCCACGGTCTCACCTCCACCACCACCTCCCACCGTACGACTTCCATCTCGTCCCCTCGACCGTACCATCCGTCTTCCCTCGACCTCCATCTCCGACCACCTCCACCACCACTCGACCTGTGACGTACCACACTCACCTTCACCTCCCCGTATCTCACCTCCACCACCACCTCGACCTGTAACGCCACCCCTCCCCGTACTCCCTCCACCACCTTCGACTGTACACCACGCCCTCCCCTCCACGACCCATGCGTTGTACATCTTTACATATTTGCACCACCTTATTGCATTCTCCAGTGTTTCGATTATTTGGGCTAGAGAGACTTTGTTGCACCTTTGTCATTACTCATCCTCTTAATGACGCTGCTAAGTGCATGTGTGCCAATGGCAAGACTACATATCCTCAAATGAACCTTTCTGTTTTAACCACTAATATGAGAAACCTAATTGGTCGTTGTGGACTTAATGCAAATAACCTTAGTTGCAATTAAGGACAAAATATGCATGACCATTCAATATCATATATTATTGTTTTACTTCATATCTTAGGTTTGTGTATGTATTTAATAAAGTGAAGGATGTTATCGTAAAAACCTCTTTCATATATATATATATATATATATATATATATATATATATATATATATATGCTAATGGATACTATATTATTGTATATCAATCAACATCCATAGTAATTAATAAATATGTTATAAACTACAAATACTTTTTCTTGTGGGGTATGTGATTTCTATCTTTCTACTTGAAATCTTGTTTATCATTTTATTAGTCAAAGGTGCTTAATAAAATTCTTTGTTCAAGAAGTGATTGTTGTCATTTAATTCTTTATCTATTTTGTTTTAGTTTCTTAAGTATTATTAAGAAGTAAACTATAAACCTAACTCAACTCTATAAAACCGGTTTTTAAGATGAGGTTTTCATCCACTTATATATACTATGAAATCATCTTATCTCTAATCAATCTGGGACTTCTAGCACACCCTTCTCATGTCGAGGTATATACAACTTGTGCTTGAGACTAAACATTTGTTAGTGAAAAACGCTAAGTGCACCAATCACACATATCAAATAATAAATATTGTTATTTTCATAGGGACTTGTACAACACATAACAACTCTCGTAATTCACAATTCAATTAGACAATAAAACTCACAAAAACACAAAGAACATTTTTTTGTATTTTTATGAAATAGTTGGTGTAACACAAGAAATTTAACATAGAATATTTATAGTTGTCAAGACTAGATTTCGTTCACTTCATTCTCATGCGTACACAAGCATCTCATTTCATATTCAAGTCAAAATCAATTCACCAATATACTCAAATCCTATTCCTATTGACTTTAAGCCTATAACAACTCATCAAGTTCCAATAACTTGAATCCTCAACAAGCAACCATGCATTATGTTCAAGAGTCTTGATATTATTAATGAATCATGTTCTATCCCTAGATACAAGCTTCATTAGGTATTTGATTTCAGTTCTAGGTTCAAAAGAAATTTTTAAACACCTCAAGAACCAATAATCAAGGAAAGCTAAAACAAACATTAAGCATAGAAATCAAATACTAACTTTGAAATGGAAAAATATATGCCTGAACATCACAAAATATACAAGATTCGGTTTATTAAATATAATATCAACAAATAAGGTTAGTTATCCAAGGTGGAGAACCTAGGGTTTACACATTGAAGAAATAAGAAAGAAATTGTAACCAAAGAGAGATGCACACCCTTCCCCAAGTTTCTTTTGCTCTACTCTATTCTTCAATGACGCTTACTCTTCACATTTTCATCTCCAATTTGTGATCCCATCTTCCTTTTTAACCCAAAAGGGGCAAAATCACCATTTGTGAACATTGAAGCCCAAGGAAGAGAAGGGAGAGTTTCCCAGCACCCCAAACAACCTCCAAGGGCCTCTCCAAGTTGCTCTACATGAAGAATGAAGTGTTGGAGGGGAGAATGACTCAAATCCTCGTGAGAAACATTTTTAAATACCTAATTTTGACACGTCAGTGATGCCACCACTCAACGTTACCTCAGCACCATTGAACATCATCAGTTAAAACGTGAAAGGGGTTCTTTGTCAAACCACCACTCAGTCCTATTTTCCACTGCTCAACGCTATTTTTCACCTATCGACGCTATTTTCCACCACTCAATTCAAGTTCTTTCACATTAATTAACACTCATCGTCAGTTTTTGATCGCTCAACGCTATCTATGCAGGAGTTGGTAGAGCTTGGCCTTAAAGATGTGACACTCAACCCTAGGAAATTTGACAACACTATGTAATTGAAGCATTGGGTGTAATACCAATGGCGCCCAATGCGGGTATTTAATTCAAATTGATATTTTCTTGTCTAAAACATGTTATCTTGAGTTCTTGTTTGTTTTCCTCCATTAGAATTTTTTCCTATTCTTGAGTTAAACTTAAAGTTCACTTCTTAATATGATATCAGAGTTATGAATTTGAGCCAGTATCCTAGAGAAATTTGGTTCTTTTTGGATTTATTATTTCAATCGTTATTAGACCACCCATCTTACATACGAGGTATATACCTCGACGTGAAGAGAGTGTGTTGAAAGTCTTACATTACTTTAAGATAAGACTAATTCAATATATATATATAAATCTCACTTTATAAATTAATTTGTAGAGTTGAATTAGGTTTGACATTTATTTTTTAACAAGTAGTTTGTATATCATTGTTTCAAATTAATGGAGTAAAGTACAAACTGAAGCATTGACAATGTAAAATCATATTCACATAAATTTTCAATCATAGCTTTATGTCCAAAGTCTAAACAAAAAAACATCAAAAAATAGTTAATGTATACAATTTTTTAAAAAAAATACTAATTGTTAGTATTGTTAATGGAGAAATTCAACGCCACCTTCTAATTCCTAGTCAAGGTATATATATTGAGTTTATTTAAATAATTCCTAGTCAAATGTATATATACTGAGTTTATTTAAATAATGACTTAAGAAAATACAGGAACTCATATCCTTCGCATGTTCAAATGATTGCTAGAAATATGTGCGTACACTTTTCATTCAATTAATAATCTCACAATTTTTAATGTTATTGATATAGAAACAAATATATTGACTAAAGGATTAAAGACTTGTTAGTTCTTCTTAATTTATAAGCACAAACTCTATTACCATAATAATCTTCTTGACATTTTTTAAATAACTATACCAATTAATACGTCCTACCAAATTATTTATGTCTGGATGAGCATGATGATTGGTTGTTTATCGTTTATCATTTGGAGTAGGAGGGATGACACAATTTGATTGACAAGTAAATAGAAAAATCATTCAATTGTCTTTTAATATTTTAAGCTCATCATTCAATCACTTTGTGTAAAATTTGAATTTTATATCATCTAATCCAATTGAAAACGGTTCTAAATTGATCAATTTTAATTATAGTTTAATTTTTTTAGAAAAAATATTAAATAAATTATTATATAGAATTAACATAATAAAAATAGCTTAAAATGTAGAAAACCTCATAAATATATTAATAATAATGTGTATCTTCAAATATTAAAAATATTAGTCAATGATTAATCATTTTGATATCTAAAAATGGTTGTTATTTAATTATTTTATTGTAGTATGCTTATGTATCTTATCATTTGATAAAAATATATAAATTAAATCAATCAAGAAACGTAATCAATTTTCTTAAAATTTCACATAACATTTTGAGTTTACTCTAGCCTAACTACAAGTTCAGTTTAACATAGTTATTTTTTTACCGTAACAAAAGTTAAACCAAGTCTGTCAAAACCAAAATTAAACTAAATCGAGTTGAATTTAAATGGAATGATTGGATTCATGCTAATATTTAATAAATTTAATAGTTAAACCTATTAAATCAATTTACCTTTTTGATAGAATAAATTCAATATGAATTTAATTCAATTTAAAATGGATTAAAAAGTCCCAATGTAGTTAATTTAATTAAAAAATATCTAAATTATAAATCCAATTTATTTGATTGAATATTGTATGTTGAAAAATTCAATCAATATTTCCAAACACTATACTACTTCCAAACAAGTTAAAATGCAAGAATTGTTAGATAAGATTTATGTACACAAGCAGGGATATTTTTATGGTTTCCTTTATTAAGAAGTTGTATTATATATATATATATATATATATATATATATATATATAT